GGGTAGGGGGCAGAGGAAAGGAGGGGACTGGGAAACGGGAAAGGAGAGGAGGAGGGGGAAGGTGGAAAAAAGGAGGGAAATGGGAAAGAGAGGAAGGAAGAGGAAGGGGGGGAGGAGTCAGGGAAGAGGAAAGAGGGAAGGAGGACAGCTGAAAGTAGAATGAAGGAGGGAGGAGGAGGAAAAGGAGAAAGAAAAGGCAAGGGGGGGGGGCGTGGGGAATGTGGAGAGAAGGGGTAATGGGAGGAAGAGGAGAGAGGGGGAGGGGGAGGAAGAGGAGAGAGGGGGAGGGGGAGGAAGAGGAGAGAGGGGGAGGGGGAGGAAGAGGAGAGAGGGGGAGGGGGGAAAGAGAAGAAGGAAGGGGAGGGAAGGTGGAAAGAAGACAGGGAATAAAGTGAGCCGAGGAAGAGGGGGTGGCAAGAGGGCAGTGGGGGGGGGGGGTAAGGAAGGGTGGAGGTGGAAATAAAAGGGAGGGAAGAAGGAACAAGGAGAGAGGGGGCGGAGGAGGGCGTGAGGAGGAGCCGGGGGGGGGGGGGGGAGCCGGAGCGCCGTACAGCTGTTGTTCAGTGGAGGGAAAAAAATAGGATTAAAAGTGTGAAGAGAAACAGAAAAGAATGGGAGAGGAATGAGAGAGACAGACAGAAAGGGAGAAGAGTAAGAGAGAGAAGAGAGAGAGAGAGAGAGAGAGAGAGAGAGAGAGAGAGAGAGAGGAGAGAGAGAGAGAAGAGAGAGAGAGAGAGAGAGATTAAAGAGAGAAGAGAAGAGAAGGGAGGCGAGAAAGAGAGAGAGAGAACAAGAGAGAGAGAGAGAGAGAGAGAGAGAGAGAGAGAGAGAGAGAGAGAGAGAGAGAGAGAGAGAGAGAGAGAGAGAGAGAGAGAGAAGAGAGACGAGGAGAGAGAGGCGAGAAGAGAGAGAGAGACGAGAGGAGAGAGAGAGAGAGAGGAGAGAGAGAGAGGAGAGAGAGAGAGAGAGAGGAGAGAGAAGAGAGAGAGAAAAGAGATGAGAGAGAGAGAAAGAGAGAGAGATAGAGAGAGAGAGAGAGAGAGAGATGAGAGAGAGAGAGAGAGAGAGAGATGAGAGAGAGAGAGAGAGACGTTTATATTTTATCATTCAGTATTCAGTCTTACTAACCTGGCAACTCCAAATAAGGAAACCATAAAATTTCATAAATTTGTAGACATCGTGGCTGCATACAGAGTGAATATAATTGGATTCGGTTTATGCAGTAATATGTCACTATACTGCTGCATTTAACGTCTAAATACCAAGCCACTCTTGAGATACTGTGTCTCTTTGATATCCATATGTGTTCACACACGTGCGTGTAAGTACGTGTGTATATATACATATATATATAAATATATATATATATATATATATATATATATATATATATATATATATATATATATATATATATATATATATATATATATATATATATATACATATATATATATATATATATATATATATATATATATATATATATATATATATATATATATACATATATATATATATATATATATATATATATATATATATATATATATATATATATATATATATATATATATATATATACATACACACACACACACACACACACACACACATACACACACACACATACACCACACACACACACACACACACACACACACACACACACACACACATATATATATATATATATATATATATATATATATATATATATATATATATATATATATATAAATGTATATAAAATAATAAGTGAAATGTTCCATTACTGTCCAAAGACTTGGAAAATGTCGTCCCTTCATCCGGGGCATCGTCGTGGGTGAACTTGAGGATTATTAGACAAAAAAAAAGTCACAGCGAAGGAGAATGAGGAGAAAGAGAGAAGCAGAAGAGAGAGAGAGAGAGAGAGAGAGAGAGAGAGAGAGAGAGAGAGAGAGAGAGAGAGAGAGAGAGAGAGAGAGAAGAGAGAGAGAGAGAGAGAGAGAGAGAGAGTACATAGAGAGAGATGATAGAGAAAAAAAAACACTGAAGGAGAGAGAAAGAGAGAAACACAGAGTGACAGAGAGAGAGAGAGAGATGCAGAGAGGAGAGGAGAACGGAGCGTGAAGAGAGGGGGGGAGAGGCAGGTGAGGAGAGGTCAGTGAAGGAGAGAAGGGGGGGGGGGGTGAGAGGTGTAGGGAGGGAAATACGGGGGGGGGGAGGTGAGAAAGGGTAGGGATTGGAGGAAGAAAGGCAGGGGAAGGAGAGGACGAGGGGAGGAGATAGGAAGGGGGGAAGAGGAGAGGGAGAGAGAGAGGTGACAGGAAAGAGGGAGAAGGAGAGGGAGGGGGAGCGAAGAAGGGGGGAGGGGAAGAAGAGGAGATACGAAGGAAGGAGGAAGAGAGGGAGGGAAAGGGGAAGGGGTGAGGGAGGAAGAGAAGATAGGAGAGGGGAGTGGGAGAGGGAGAGGAAGGGAGAGGGGAGGGGAGGGGGAGAGGCAGGGAGAGGGAAGGGGAGGGGGCAAGACGGACGTTCACGTGAGCAGCCACATCACGTGAGAATGTC